TCTGTCTATTTACCATAATCCTATCAGCAATTTTCGATGGCCTTGGTCCGAGCTTCTAGCCGTCATCACCTTATTATTGACCCATTAACCATTAATGAATATATATATATATATATATATATATATATATATATATATATATATATAGTTGTAACTACAATTACGATATACAGCTTTTGAAAATGATTCGTCAAAAAGAAAATTTAATCCTCTGAATTGTCTTTTATTAATTTTCGCATAACTTTATTGGATATCGATTTCTGACTGTAGACATCTAACTTTTAAATTGTATTCCTCCACAAGGGTTACCTCAGTGCTGGAATGACTTCTATTCATTTTTACCAATATATCACAATCCATTTAATGCATTTTAGCATTTTTCTGGGGAATTTGGTTCAGATTTCCTAAGCATTCACCACAAATAAATTCAGTCTAATTGACAGCAATATTCATGAACGTCCAAAGATCTGGTTTTCACATTACGAAAAGAAATACGATTCAATCACTGAAGACCAAGAGTACTAATGAATAAATTGTTTAGTATTGAATTACATAAGGAGTAGATTCAGGATATTATTCTTTATTTTTAGTTGGGATAAATATGATAAAAGAGGTTGTATTGACCTTGGTTACCAGCAGGGGAATCCAGGAGGCAGTTAGGCTCTTTATAGCAGTGAGAAATTGCAAGCATCATAACAAAAACTGATACCCGTCATGCAACAGGTGGTTATCGTGTCTCAATGCCTCAGTGGATAACGCTCTGGCGTTTAAAGCGATTGGTACTGGGTTCGAGCACCAACTGGAACAAAGCCACCCACTGGGTGCAGGCATATCCAGCTGACTAGTCACAAGCAGGACAAAATACGAGTCCCGGATTCCTCTACAAGTCATCATGATCAGTGCAACATCACTAACGTTGGTGTTGAAAATCCGGATCTTGTTCACGCTTTATGTTGAATATGGTGCAGTAGATCTCCACACTGATTTCATATTACTGCAGGAAGGCCTGTCTTGCTGTCTTTCCGATTCATGCTTTGACATCATCTGTGTCTATGCCGTCTATAGTTGAAATGACACTGCTTAGTTAGGTGAAAGAGATAACTTCCTTTAGGTTTCTCCCGTCCATGGTGATTGATGCTTGTTGTTGGTCGGGTTCACCTGAAGGAAATCCTATCTTGGCTGCCTCACCTCTTCTGTCAACTTGTTGGTTCTTGCCCGTAGATCTTTGAGTTTATGCGACAAGACATTATACATAAATCATCGGCGAAATCCAGATCTCCCTTTGGGTCTTTTCGTCGGTCCAGCGTATGCCCAACTTCTCACTCCTCACGGTCTGCTGCGTAATTTTGAGAAGGCCTATGACAGCATTGACCGAGAAGTCATTTGGTAGTAGCTTGAACACTACGGTTTTAGTGTCACAAACCTTTACCAATCTCATTCAACAGCTAGCTATATGAAGACGCTGCATCCCAAGTGATCCACAATAGAAAGCTCAGTGAAGCATTTGAATTGAAGACAGGATTAAGACAAGGTTGCCGCCGACCGTCACAAATGACCTTTCTGATTGTGGTTGACTCGACTGGACTAGATTATGCAGCAGACCGTGAGGAGTGAGAAGTTGGGCATACGCTGGACCGACGAAAAGACCCCAAAGGGAGATCTGGATTTCGCCGATGATTTATGTATAATGTCTTGTCGCATAAACTCAAAGATCTACGGGCAAGAACCAACAAGTTGACAGAAGAGGTGAGGCAGCCAAGATAGGATTTCCTTCAGGTGAACCCGACCAACAACAAGCATCAATCACCATGGACGGGAGAAACCTAAAGGAAGTTATCTCTTTCACCTAACTAAGCAGTGTCATTTCAACTATAGACGGCATAGACACAGATGATGTCAAAGCATGAATCGGAAAGACAGCAAGACAGGCCTTCCTGCAGTAATATGAAATCAGTGTGGAGATCTACTGCACCATATTCAACATAAAGCGTGAACAAGATCCGGATTTTCAAAACCAACATCATGTCAGTGCTTCTGTATGGCTCAGAGACTTGATGCATTTTGAAAGGCATTTCCAACAAACTACAAACATTCATCAACAACTGCCTATGCTGGCTCGATACTGAAGATCAGATGTCCAGAACAATAAGAATAAGCAAGAAGGAACTCTGGCTGACTGGCTGGCTGGCTGGCAACGAACCAACCGAGAACCCAACACTCAACAAATATGCAGTGGAAGGAAGTGGAGATGGAATGGGCATACACTGAGAAGGCCAACTGGGGACATCAAGTGCCAGGTCAGGCCCTCGAGTGGAATGTAAAGAGGAGAGGATGAGTTGGGCGTCTGTGCTGAGGGTGATATGGAGGAGATCATGTTAGGAAGGAATTAAATCTTGTGGGCAGTGGTGGAGTCAGGTTGAGAAGACTGCAGGGAACAGAATGCAATGAAGCGTGCTACTGAAGTCCTATGTTCCACTAGGAACCCAAGGAAAAAATAATAATAATGATAATACCAAGATATTTCACATTACCGTGTTTGTTCATGACAGATCTTATCTGTTAAGTCGTAGATGTCTGCTTCTACTAAAACTGCACACGAATGGGCTATCAGTTGATAACCAATGTCGCTATCTAGCCCTCTATATTAAGCACTGACCGAAGTCTGTCATCCAACTCTTGAGGTGCAGTCACCTAGTTAGGTGACGTTTCACTGCGGTGCACTGTATTTTGGAGTTAAGTGTTGGTAGCCAGTTGGCGGAAAGCCCTAGAAATAGGTTTTATCCTTGCTGGCACTCAGTAGCAAAGTGTTTTTGCACTGATGATGAAACCGGTGTTTTTTGGTAGTTCAAACCTGCATGATTCAATGGCGAGGCTACAGAATGAACTGCGGAGCTTCTGTAGTCATGTCTGGCTCTTTGTAGGACTGTGTTATGCACCCAGGTTGATTCCCAACAGGTAATCGATGAAGATTTCTCGTTCTTCGTGCTTAGTCCTGAAGAAGCCTAACCGGTATGTTTGGTTTATGGCCTTTGAGTGATGAAGATTTGTACCCCTAAGAGAAAAACAGTTTCCTGAAGGCTTCATGTGGGCGCTGAAAAGTATGACATTTAGACTTGGGGCTTCCTGATCTTGGTCTGACATGTCTGACATCAGACTCAGTCCTTTTTCAACTACCTAAATTAATTCACCTTACAAATCAATATTTGTAGACTTCATTTTCAGGAAGATTATGTTACTTAGATGCATCTGGCAGTATTTCCAACAATCTGACATTACTGAACGTGATTTGATCTCGTTGGCTTTTTCTCATTTAATCCTAGGTGAAACAAAATCATTTTCCAATGTTTAATACCGCTGAAGTTTCAGATGTTCAAGACACAGACCTATTTATTCTTGACAACTTTCATGGAAAATATTACTTTTTCAGCAATGGCAAATCTTGATTTATTTGACTTGAAATAAAAGTATTTTTGCATAAGACATACTTAGCCCCGGATACAAAACTTTGATTATATTATTTAGAGCATAATCACTAGAGTTGTTGACAGTGAAATGGGAACCCAGTGAAAATCAGTATTAGCGATTTCATGTAACTGATGATATCAGGTTCGTTAAATCACCACAGACAGACAGACAGACAAAAACAAAGTTGAACCTAGTACACAGGTTCGTTGGTTCAAGTTGCTACAGTTCACAGTAGTATACAACGAACAAGTGGATACAAGAAGAGCGATATCAAATTCGAAAAAGTTGCGTGAGAGGATAAGCAGTCTGAAGATAAAGGTTACTGTAGAAACTAAGGCTTTGAGAGTCCTCAAAGAGTGAATTCATCTGCCTCATTATGTCCGATTTTAAGCCATGTCACCTGATGTTCTCAACTGCTGATTCCCATCGTCTAGGAGACCCCAGCCAGGTATTCTGTATCTCCCCATATGACAGAGAGAAGACCGTCACAGAGATTTCGAGTCCTTTAAGAAATATTCATGTCATTTTAAGTGTAATATCATCCATCTTAAATAAAATCAACACTGGCATTTCAACCAGGACCATTAGTTATCCAAACTATGGACCCATATATTCCCTTGTTCATTTTGCATACGAGATACTGTCCGTTTAACTGACCTCTAATTACTTTAATCTCCTCCCTATATATACTCCAACCTATGTCATGTAAACAGTATATTATTATCTTTTATTCGCGTCCGTTCTCCCGGAAATATTATTTTTATACTTCAGAATTAGATCAATTTAAGAGCCAGATTGTAATTGTTTCAACCGTAAACTTCTCTAAATTGTGTTATCAGTTTTACGCTATAAAGTTAGAATATCTGTAGGCAAAACGCAAATGGATTTATGAGGAGGCTGTAATCCTTAAAGCCTGATATTATACGACTTATTAATCCCTCACTAGCTACAGAATCTTTTGACTTAAGTATATTGAATGCCTGCTGAAATTAGTCAAGACTCAGGAAATATATCAAGTAGTCTTTCTTAAGCTGGAAAATGTTTAGTATTCCGCTTAAGAGCACTCAAGAAATAACCATCATGTTATAATTGAGAAATACACTGCCTGGTGTCGAAAGAAGTTTAACAAGTACATTGGCGATAGGTAAAAAACTGGAGCGAAACCTGCATCTGATGTTCCCAGTTCATACCAATCTGCAAAAAATGTCCTCATCCAAATTAAGACAATTTCTCATATAATTGTGATAGTGACCTTCTCCCATCTGATCTCTAAGTATTTTGACATCAGTAACCAACTAAATAAAGCAATAATTTTTCCGGTACTAAATTTTAAAGAGGTCTTATATCCTGGCCAATAAAACTGATTAAAAAGTTTGCCCGTTTCAATACATCATCTAAAAATCGATAGATAATAAATAACCAGCCATATCGTCAAAATAATTTGCTGGGTATCGTACTATTTCCATATTTCTACTTGTAAAATGAATGAGACTTTTTAAAACTAGAAATCAGTTATTAATTCAGAAGAGAATTCTGCTTTAGAAGAAATTCTATTCGTCTTATTTTACAGACTTTAGATGCAATGTGAATCTAAGAGCAATATATGTATGTGGTTAGGAAACGCGAAACATATTATTATTGGTTCTTCCAGTGTGGATCAACTAATCTAGGTTCATTTGAATTACTCATATTCATAGCGACCAGTTGCTTCTCTCCTGTTAGTTCTAACTCCATTATGTTATCTAAACAACAAACATGTCCAATAAGACTGTCAGTTAAGTTGTCCAAATCGATCTGCCAAATTGACAGCTGTGTGCGTCGAATGCTACCACTAGCTGAAATGATTTTACTTCCATCTAGAGAAACTTGTAAAATTGGGGGACAGTCGTGCGAAAATTGTAAACGCTCACTGCTTTGTAAACGTACTGGGTCACTGTCTCGGCAGGGACACCATAAAACAATCCCATAATCCAGTCTTGCTCCAACAGTTATACAATTCATGCCACTGACACCCACTTGAATTAAATCAGACTGGTTCGAGAGACGTTTACGATTCCATTGAATATTTTGTTCCTGTTGTATTGGCTTGTATTCATGAAAGTTGATGAGCGACCAGACTGTCAGACATGTACTTTGTTCTGCTTGACTAAACTCTGAATGAACTAACCAACAGCCGTCATAAGATAATGCGGAAACCGCTAGATTTGGCGCATCTGAAAGATGTTCTGACACACCATGTGAGATTTGTCGTTTCGTTGCATAGGCCTCATCTAAAGTGCCTACATGCTGAAGTTTACTGAGAAGAAATACACAAGCACAGTCTGAACCATAACTTGCCACCATAAGACTTCTGTTACCACTGAATAAGAATTCTCTACTGTAGTATTAGGAAGGCGGGAGATGGCGTCCTGCGACTTTTGGGGTTCATTTATTGCCCGTGATCCTGCACTAGTGCTATATTCTTGATAAACTGTGAAATCCGGTTTCAGTCTCCATATAATCTGGCCATTAACCAAACTGTAAGCAACAAAATGAGACCTTGTTTCATTGAAGCCTATGAGATAAGGTGTGCCATCCTTATCTACGGGATGAAATATGGTATATTCAGTCACTTTACTTGGTATAATGAAAACATCTGATAAGTGTCTTATGTGTTGCAGACTGAACTCATTTGGTGAGCTGCGAACAATCTCGTAAACATTCATTCGCTGATAGACTTCTCTGAAAATGAAAACAAGGCAGTTAGAATGACAAATGATCATCCAATGACGTATGAAAACAAAAATGTAAAACTGCCTTCAATGTTATCAACAACGTTTACGTAAACCTCATTAAAATAATCAACTAAGTAGATGATTCGAAATATAGTATATTAAAAATGGAGTTGATAAGGTATAAATCACTTGGAAGGATTGTGAGTAGAATTTAGATGACAAATTGTAAAGGTGATTTTTCCTATCAAAACAATGAATCTTGGAAATTCCTCATTATTTCGTCTTACTTAGACAGGTAGCCTGTGGTAAATTGTGTCCTTGGACTGTGCCACTTACAAGTAAGTGATATTTTGTAGTCATTTACCCTTACTTTTACACTACTGGTTGTTTATGTTAATTGATTGTTGTTTACTTGTTGACGCAGTGAATTGGTATTGAGCTATGCTTGGTTTACCTTATTCATCCTTCGTTTTCTGTAGCATACTTGTTAGCTGGTGCTAAATCAACTTGGAGGTAAATTTGATGGTCGTATTAGCCGTCATTATATGTATTTATACCAATCAATATACTAACCCAATCCTATATAAGTCTATTCTAGTATGAACAGCTCAGTGATAATGTCGATAGCAACAGCAATGGGTGACGTTGGTTCCAGTATTGCATTGCTCGCTGATATTCGAATCAAATACATGCTGCTCCAAAACGTCCATTGAAAATTTCGAGCAGTTATGATCACTCTCTGTTCAGTGCCCTCTACTTCTGATTTTTGCATCATTTACCAAAGCGGTTTTTCTGTTAACAAACACCTTTTGTTGTCAGCTGATTAAATTCTAATAAGCTCCCTGTTTTACTGACTTCAAGAAGTATTTCCGGTCAAGCAGCAAGTCAGGTCATGGTATTAATCATTTGTCATGTGATGAATGAATGGAATAATTCTAAAGACCACCTTAGACACCATTAAAATTGCTAGTTTTCCTTCTTAATTTTGTCTGAAAGTGTAGTTTTTCCACCAAAGAATAAAATTTAGTCGGTTGTTTAAGTATCTGTTTGAGTGACCTTTGGGGTTACTTTAGTGAGCCAGATAATTTGTCTTATTGTCTCAAAGAAACTGCAAGTATGAGTTTGATAGCAATTAGTAAGGTAAATGTTTGTGATCACAGCAGGACAATTTTATCTGTCCTGAATATTGAGTGACTTCAGTTCGGTCGAAATAAAGAAACTTGACTGACTATTTTAGTCGCCCTAGAAGTGCCTTTTAAAGTCGGATGTAGGTATCTGGATGATATTTGAAATCCTTTTCTCACACTGACTGTACACTGTTTCAGAGAAGTGACTACAAAGGCCACCCTAGCAACGACTAAAACGGCCAAACAAGTTGCCTTCATTTTTGTTTGAAAGGGTAATTCCTATAAAGTAAAAATTTTTAGTTGGGAGTTACTTAAAAGGGTCACTGTAAAAATTTCTGAGATAACCAATCAGGCCTCGATATTTCGGGTGCTCAAGGGTAGTTTTTTTATGAAATAGGGCACCATAATTTGTTAGTGCGACCTTTAAAGTCACTCTCATTTTATGAGTCACAGTTTATTTGCCATTATTCACCATACAATTTGTCAAGGCTTGACTGTGATGCTATTATCATCATACCAGTTTCTTTAGTACTTTTAATGGCAATTACCGGAAAACTAGATTGCGTCTCTTTATTTTATCAAAAAACCACGTTACTCTAATGTCCATCCTAGTGATTGCTGAGATAACCGATTACACTTCTTATTTTATGAGAAAACTACCCTCTTAAACTAAACACCGAAACCCGATTGATTATTCCAGAACTTGTTAAGATGGTCTTTAATGCTATTCGATGAAATACGTTCCTAGTGGAAATAAAATGCCTAATTCGTAATTTCACTGATTGTTAGGGTGGGCTTTCAAAAAGAATGACTCCAAAGGTTGCTTCAGCAAACACTGTGATGACCTGCCAGCTTTCTTTATTTTCGCTGGAAAAATAGTATTTTCGTAAAATAGAGAAAACTAATTGGCTATATCAGTAGTCGTTCGGGTGGCTTTTATAGTCACTCGTTCAGACATAGGATATCATATATATAAGTGAAAAACTTGGGCACTGTGGTAGAATGTAGTTCCATATTAGATTTGTTTATTTGATATAAAGCGCACAGTGATACAGTATTATTTATATATTTTAACTCACTCTAAAATTGACTTTAAAGGCCATCCTAGGCAGGATAATCAAGAATTGAACACCAGTTGGTAAAAGCATAGATATTCTTATTATTATTATTGTCATCATCATCATCAAGAGATCAGCTAACATGGTGATATGGTTTTCACTGTTTTGTGTATTATTTATATTGTTGCGTTTTGATATATATTATCACCCCTGGATGATTGTTACTTAACTGAGAGAAATATGCCTTAGAAGGATGTTCTACTTATCTGAACAGAAAATAAGGTATTCAGTTTGTCAGGCAAAAATAGAAAAATCTGTAACTTACACACCTCGTACGTAACCATTTTTACAAGCTGAATAAAGACTTATACATGTATCAAATTTTATCTTAGAGAAAACAGAAGTGAAATATTACGTTGTAGGATGAAATAGTCAGAATTTTTCCACCTTACTTTCAAAGCTACATTTTTCTAGAATAATTGTAAATGTACTTCTATATACATCAGCCGGGTTATTCCCCATTCACAATACATTAACTTACCTACATTCTTCAACAACTGCAGAATATTCTAATTTTTCAAGAGTAATCAAAATACTTCCATCAAATATAAATAAGTCTCTATTAGTCCATTGACTTTTTTCAAAAGATTTAACTGGAAAATGCTTCGTTGACCAGTCAGCTATGATATCACTTGGTGGGTACATTATTCCAACGGATATTTCACCGTGTGTAGGATCATAACTAATGAATCCAATATTGTCAAACTTTTTCTCTAGTATATAGAGTGAGCTTATGATCTTGGGTGTATCCTCATGTTTCATGGACACCTGATGAGTAAATTTCCTTGCCAAGGCTTTTGTTGGGTTACAGTTCATTAAGCAATAGCCCATATCCTCTAATATTGGCTTCACCATAGTCAAATGATGTATATCTTTAAACGCAGAAGTAAATGGTGATATAAATGTGTACTGTTCATGTATTAAGTAAGGAAATAGGTGTTCTGGAGGAAGGACAGTGGATGTTGATTTATTGACATCCCAAACAACAACTTCCATACCACTGATATTTTCATTTTCATCACTGTAATACTGATAGTTTGAAAATAATTTACGTCTTTCTCGTCGTGATGGGTTCTGTACGACCGTGATTATTTGACCAGTTGCAGGTTCATTATAAATATTCAGTTTTGGTAGAGACGAATAGCTTAAAAGACCGAATATTTTTGAACATGGTTCCATTGGTGAAAATACATTTAGATTGGATGATTCAATCCGTTGAATAAAATTCCCTGTTGCTTGATCGAATATGTCAATACAACCTACAACATCTTCATTAGGCAGAATATTTGACGGAGATCTACTAGCTAAAGCTATCGGTTTATGTAATCCACTACTGATGGCCAATAAACGTGTTCCTTGATTCGGGCATTTTAAACATTTCTGTTTTGGTGGTTGGATGAAATCAAAATGATAATCTGTCTTCAAATTTATGCTAAACATTGTTGCATGTGAATCACCCCTTGCACCACAGATAACCTGGAGTTGATTATTTTCTAAGACACTAGCTGTTAAAAAAAGTTCTGTATTTGATTTAACAGGGTTGGGTAAACTCATTGATCGTAGAATTTTATTTTCTGGCTTATCTGACTGAAATATAGACTGAGGTATGTCTACTAAGCTAACTGGACCGAATAGATGATTTAATGAGCAATCTTTCCACAGCCACACAGACAACTTACATATACCTTGTTGTAGTATGATTATATAAGCTGTTCCTTGTCTCCCAGTTTCAGCTACATAAACACTACAGTTTTCTTTGATTGTTCGCAAATCAGTACCCCCATGGCTGGAATCTTCTGGAAGTGAATAATAATCACCTAACGTTGTTGAATTATTGTTCATTTTTATTGGCCAGACCAATATTCTTTGAGTAGGTGTTTCAATGCCTAGAATGGCTTCATCACTAGCAATCCATATTAGCTCATTTATTGTTTGAATAATGTCACATGGTAGAAAAATGCTTGAAATCCTAAAATTTCCGATTACATTCCATATATCCAAGGTTGTTGTGTTGTTTATTAAATCTCTTGCTGAATATGCTAACAGTTCTTTAGATGTGGAAAAGGCTATTGCATTGATATGAATCTTGTTTTTTGCACAACTTAGTCCAACACTCTCTGATAAAGTTAGTGATTTAGAAGTTAGGCAGCCTGAAAACTGTTCATCTGTACACAGATTTGTACATATTTTAAAGTTAATCGGACTGGGTACTGAATTATTTAAGACTTCATTAAGCTTATGAATGCTTTCAATTAAGGAATTGAGAGATTTCTGTATCATATTCACTTGATCTTCTTTACTCGGAAGTGAATTACTTGGATCTGCATCATCATTCTCTATTTTTATTTGCTGAAGTTTAAAAAATTGATCTAAACCGTTAATGAGTATATTATTCAAAAGAAATGGGTCTCGACTTAATTTGTGTCTCCATTGTATAAGTATACTCACAACTATTCCAACATCAGGATTATTATTTATGTGTTTTAGTGCTTTTTGAACATACTGATCAGATAACAGTGGAGTGTCTCCTTCAGTGTCTGTCTCTTGTTGGTCATTGTTGGAACTTTCTGTAAATGATAAACATGATACTATTTCATCCAAAATATTCTGAATAATAGAAGAGGAATAATCTGTAAAGAGACTCATTTGTAATTTGTAGTTTAACCAAAATGAATTGCACAAACAAAAACTCTTGAGATGATGTAATCGTTCTAATTTAGACAAATGATATGGAACTTCGTATATCCATCTCCAGTGTATAGTTTCCATTAAGGACTTATATTTTGCACCGTGTGACTTTGAATCAAATGCTGATGATATTAATTTATGTTGATGATAAAATGTGTTAGTTTGAAGTACATGAAAATCAGACTTTGTTTTATTATCTAGATAATGTTTTTCTAACCAGTATCGGAAGAATCGCTGGCATACATTGAACAACACATAACATCCATAGGGTGGTGATCTAGTATAAATTAAGATACCTAGCGAGTTTAAGAATTCATTCAGAAAGCGGAACAACCAGTTTCTTGTTATATAAACACGCTCACATTTCTCAATAGACCATAACTCTAACCTGGTATCCTGCACTGACATTCTATGATGCTTTGATGTGATACTTGAAGGGTTTTGCGAATTATTAAGCGCTTTAAGTGATCTCGTTGTCTGACTGAGATAAGGTAGACTAGCCCAGAATATGTTTATCAAATCTTCGTCGGTTAAACCCCATCTGGATAGTACTAAATGACCTAGAATAAACTGTACTCGTTTAAACCCGTAGACATTACCAGCATATATTAATAGACTATTGAATAATTGTTGATTTGTTAATTCTTTTGAATTCCTTAATATATCATTTACCATTTGATTTTCACTTTCTAATAACTTTATAAGTATTTTTAGTTGAAAAGGCTGAAATTTCTTGTTTATATCTTTAAGTCTTGATAAGATATTTTCATTACTTTTACTATATTCAGTATTCTGAAGCCATAATGTTACGCATTGTTCCATGCTATCCAAATCAAGTTCTTCCAAATGGATTCTGTAGTATTTATTGCTTTGACTACTGGAATCATTTTCATTTTGTACAGAGTATTGATTTATTTTGCTGTGAAGAAGTTTATTGAAGCATGCTACTTCATCTGGACCGCTTGTTGTTGAAAGTATAAAAATCACAGGACAGTTTAAATTGGGTTTATGGATCATCCAAGTTATTGGAATCCATGAAACTGGAAAATTATTTTTCCGTTTCTTACATTCTAGGTGAAACAAGTAAGAAACAATAAAAGGATAATTATAAATTCTTCTTAGTGTGTAAAATTGTATTAGGAAGCATTATGAAGTGAACTCACTTTGGAATTGTCAGACCGTATAAATTAATAAAAATAGAATAGAATATGAAAATGATGAAAAGTTCAGTTTTTTATATACTGCCATAAAATGTAGGATAGATACTGCACTTTAAAGGTCCATTCATCAAAAGAGCGTATGGAATGGTACCTACTTGAAATTTAATAGGTTTTGTTCCACTAATTACAAGCGGGGATTAATTAAAACTTTATTTCACAGGATTACAAAGTGGAAGAAGAGTTAAAATATTTGAAAGATACTTAGGCTATAATGGCTATCCAGAAATATTTATCAACAGGTATGGAAAAATAGAAGACAGAAAGTTGGAGGAAGTAAAGGTCAGGGAAAAGCCTGTATTCATTCGCCTCAATTTCAAAAGTGCAGGAACTGTTAGCAGACAACTGAAGATAACACTGTCTAGGACTTTCTATGCAGCCAGGTTAATTCCTGTGTACTCATTCATCCAGAAGTCAACAGGTACCCTTCCTAAGTTACCTCCAGTTAGATTAATCAAATTACGTATAGCTGCCAAAGCAGATACATTTGAAGAACAGAAGGAAGGGCATACTTTAGATATTGTACCATATTCCAAGGAACCTAACACTGAGCGGAGGTAACAGTCTGAGCAGTTCAGTCATTGAAAGTCTGACTGAAAATGAGCATCAAGCTGATGTCATTAATTTATTCAATACTATAAACAAAAGGATAAGCTCAGTTCTACTGAAGTCTGCCGAAACTATAGACATTAAAGAACTCAAACCTGATTTATCTGTAGTTACCCTCTGTCTATTTTGATAAACCTTTTTGACTGTTATTTGGTTACACCACCCATCATCAAGTTTAGATGTTTTTTCCCTCATCGCTGTTTAGTTGCATCATCTTTTGGTCACATACAATGTTTTAATTAACTGAGATTACTTCACAATGTTTTGCTTATTTATCCTATTGTAATAGGTGCTACTGATAAGAATATATACAAGTAGTATATGTTGAGAGGGTCGCAGAAACCGTAGGCAATTACAAGCGATGGGTAAATATTCTGCCCAGAGGAACGCAAGAGACAATCTAAGCGTATTAAGAGCAAGTCGAGATAGAGGCAGTTGAGGAAATGAAACACATTGTGCAAGTGACTGTTTTCATGGAAAGTGTACAATATTTCGTCATTACTGTAGAATATGTCATAATAAACATTCTATCCTACGTCTCAGTCTTGTCGTTTCTTACACCATGACCCACTTAAGTAATCATATAATCTTAATCCCCTCATTATTTTGATTACTACTAATTTTGTTATTTTACTCCGGAAACCTCTACGGAAATATGTGACCATTCATTAACTCTCGTTGAATTTGCCTTTCTGATTGACCTTTAGTCTCTGACCATTTCTGTCCACCTTAAACACAGACCGATATTCTGTTCCTTTTCAATAAATTAAAGTATGTTAAACTTTCAGCAAAACTATATGCCTTGATATTCTAAGTTGTAAGCATTTGACAAGATATAACTCCAAAAGCATCATTCACATTCTTTCCCTTAATAAATTTAAATTCAGTAATTAACCTTCAATCCCATTCTATTTAAAAAAGAGTTTTCAAACAGCCTGCAAGACATCAGTGACCTCAGATATCGTATGATGATTGAGACAGCTAAATATTCAGTAGTGCATCAAATGAGCACATATCAGCAAGAGAAATGTATAGTTATTTAGTAGTTTTTAGCTCAGCGGTAGTGCCTCTGTCTGCAGCACTGGCTGATGTGGGTTCAAATATCAGGCTAGACATCAGTTTTGTAGAGACTACAGATGCGCCGAAAGGGAAAAACCTAGTCCCAGGGCTTTCTGCCAATTGTCTCCATTCAGCTGACGTGTATAGCATGCTAAATGATCCAAATGATCAGTATATAGATTTTGAGTTCTTTCTGTCTTTTGATCTCCTCAGATATAAAAAACTAGTGAATAAATCACAGTAAATTTAAAAGTTCAATAATTAATCAGTGAAGCATTAGTATAGCATAGTATTTAATCGAACAGTATTCTAACTACCTACAAAACCTATCAGTGAACTGCAGTGGTAGCTTGGTAGCCACATTGTAAAGTAATCACTTGAATTCGGTCAACACTTACAACTAGACAACATACAATTGATTAATCTTCAGAAACCAATCGATGAGCGCCTATGTCCCAGTCCAACAGAAAGTCAGTCTCAGTCTGAATTGCTCACTGGTAACGTCTGTGATTGCAGCACTGGGTGAAGCGGGTTTAAAGATCAGCCAACACATCGTTTTCTTTGAGGTTGCAGATATACCTTTCTGACGAGTGCCAACAAAAAAATGAACCTAGTTTCAGAACTTCCCACCTATTAGGTCTATTCAACTAACATGTTAACAAAATCATTTATTTGTACCGAAACCACAATTATTATGAGTACATAAAATGGACATTTAACTTAATCCTTAACTTAATCGGATTGATCCGGATTGATCAATCCGATGACAGTTTTTCTGATTTTTAAGCAAAATTATTCTGTAATTAATCCCTTGGCCATTCATCTAACTATTTACTACATTTAGTCAATGATAGATTCATACAATGATTTATTCTACGAAGTGTAGATAGTATATAGTGGTCATTTTTATACTTAGTCAACAGCCTAAATTAATTCATATTACCGAAAACAGCAACTTGTTTTTGTTATCATTTGGACTATCTGAGATAGCCGTGGTTTGGCAGACTTCAGTGATTGATACTCGGTGATGATTGATAGTGAAATGAAAATTTGGGTGGTATAGGTTACTGGATCAAACCCTTCTGCAAACTAGATTTTCATTTCACCATCAGTCATCACCCAGTATCAACTTATCTTCTCACTAATGTCCTTCTATACACTATGTGCGTTTGAAAATCTTAAAGAAGATCTATAACTTTCGCATCCAGTCCAGGAGGTAGGCTTCATACATAACTTTGTGATGATGATTCACCCAACAATTGAGTATCAAAATTCCCAGGACACAGAATTATCAATATATGAAAACGCTGAGTAAATAATAAGATAATAACACGACCATCTCGGATAGCCATGAGTTGAAAGACTAGTGTTTTTGATATTGGGTAATGAATAACGGGTAGATGAAAATCTTGGTAGTGGCAGCAACCAAACCAAATGCCTCCAAATAACCAGTCTGTTGTTATGCTATTTTAAACTACGAGACTCATAGTGAATTCTTGACTCCTTATCCAACAATAGAATCTAGTATGACACCATCCGACCTTTCATATTTTCATCTTATCACTAATGAGAATAAAGTTGTACAAATGAAAGTAATACTTAAGTGTTTGTTTATCCACCCGGTGATGAAAGCAGAGATAAAATAAAGCTGAGTGACTGGATGTTTTCATTGGACCTAAGCAGTTTACATCTTGCCTCACTGAATTTATTTTGTTATTTGTAAATTTCGGTAGTGACATGTAAATATTTCTTCTATTGTTAGTACTTCCATTAACATCTGTGTTTACTATAGATAGAATTTGAAGTTATGTTCGTACTTAGCTACGAAATGTTCCACATGGTTCATCTATTTCGCTGTAATCTCTTCAGGTATGTCATATTGAAAATGTAATCAATTTAGCATTTGAGGAACTGGACTACCAGATACATGAGAAACTCAGTTTGGAAGTTTGTGGAGAATTATTTACTAATTTCAGATTGGTGTTCACCATGGAATGACATCAATCAGAGAAATATTGGATCATCAGATTTGGACCCAGTGACGTCCTGACTACCGAACCTGGAGTTCCTGGACGCAAATCCTAGCAGGGTCGTGAGCTGCTAAGGAGTTCCATACTGGGATAAAACAGTTGTTCAGTGTTCCCAGATTTCTAGTGTTTCTTCAACTGCTGTAAGTACATGATGGATACCAGACTGAGCTAGAAAATTGTTTCACATCTTAATTTAATTTAAAACAGAAAAAATTTGACGAGCGGAACATGCACATACGGAGTTTCTTTGTTTATCAACTACTCTATGATACAATGAGTGTCAAAACCATAGGTTCTAATGGTTAAAATGTTATCTATATCCTCAAGAGATTACTATTCATCAGAAAAGATATAGTAAAACAAAAGTCATTGGCTTTCACTCTGCACAGTTCTCTTTCAACGTACCTTCTAAATTTTCAATGCCGTCCAAAATAATTATTAATGGATGCTGAGCAGACTGTTCATACGTAGCTTCAGTAATAGCTGTGTGTAGTGCTGTTCGCAGACCATCATAATTCTGAAAATAATGTTTTTATCAGCAAAACTAACCAATAAACAATCTCTAAAGCAAAAAAATGCTTGCGATCAATAAAATAACTTTATTTACTACGTTCTCATGACTCAGTACTGTAAGATAACTCTATCTGTTACGTAATCAATAAAACAAAATGGCTTGTATAATGGAAATAAAAGAAAATGATTGGGACATAGAGAGTCAATACAGAATTATACTTCATTAAGAAGTTAGCACCAATGATGTCAAAAGAAAGACAATGAAAGCTTCATGACTAAACCAAATAGCTTGAAGAAAGGAACACAATCAAGTTATCATCATTCAAGTTCAATTCGAAATCACCTACTGAAGAAATTAAAGTGAAACTTCGTGGTTGAATATTAGTGGTATTTTGAAATGAACTGCATTGTTTTTCAGTTTTTTGAAGTAACTGAATACCATGCAGTGACAAATCAAGTTGTTAGGTTAACGCCGTCATATCCATACAAGCTTCTTTCTTATCGATATCTTAGTGTACTAGAGAGTTTCATTTATGAAAGACTACGGTCTACAGATTATCCATCTAGTGAGAATTCCTGGAATAAGTTACTGTAATATCATGAGGTCTAGAATATTATTTATTGCTGATTACCATTTGTATAGGTATTCTGCGCCGATTATTCACTAAACAGTAGCGAACACCATCTTTAGTTTTTAGTGCAGACTAGTTTTTAAATTAAGCTTTCACTGGGGTCACTGGGCTGAGAGATGTATCAAAACTGTAGACTCCGATCTATGCTAAGTGGTTAAAGGCAGCTGGACTTAGTTCCTCTGCTTGGTGGTATACATGAGTACAGTGTGTCTGCAACATCGCAACGACTGATGCCTTCTGAGAGATCCAGAGTCCATTTGAAAATGCTGCTGTAAGAAAACTCATCACTCAGTTAGATAAACGTGTTGCACGCTTAATGGATACAGTTTAGCCGGTACTTAGGAATAAACAAGGTGATAATTATATCTTTTTAGTGCCTAGATAATTTATATCAATGGTTTCTACAGTAGTTTAGTTGTGGCCCAAACAAATGAGTAACCACACCTCTGACTGTGGCATTTCGTGATGGGGATCTGAGTGTTTGAATGGGCATCATTTTCATCTAAGCTGCAGGCGATTCCTAATGATGAGGGCTTGGAGCCATGGAGTTCAGGTGCAACAGTTCCTGTCGACTGCCTTCAACCATTCAAGAAGTGACTGCTAACCTAGTGGTTTTATTGATCAAGGTTATTACTCTTTCGGACCAACTTATCCAGTAACAATCTGGGCAAAGTTCAATCTATGTGAGTAGTTCTACTCAAGCAATAAACTTGAAGCAAATGACTGTTGGTAAGAATATCTGAGATAGCTGAGATGCAGCAGATTGGTATTGTTTATACGAGGATTCAAGTGAAGTTAATACCTGGTCAGCTCCTGCGTCTCTCAACTTAACTGATAGATCGCTGGTCTGGTAATCGGAAGCGGATGTTTTGCATCAAACTATGATCCACGTTTTCAGCTCACCTTCAATCATCAATTAATATAGACGAGTATCAACTTCACTTTCTTAAGCTTTGTCACATGAAGATGGATAGATTTCATCTGATGGTAGATCGAAAGAGATGAATACAAGGTGCCTAATTGAGTACCATACCTCAAACCAATGAGCATTAGAGGGTAAAATATTTAAAGCCGGCGTTAATTTTGCTGAAGTGTATCTATCAAAAACATAAGAACATATTTCTGTGCTTATCCTCTTTAAATGTACCTAAAGAAACACTTTAAGTCACTTAACTATATATGAACTAAATTAGTATTGAAATACCAAGAAACATACATCGGATATAACTGAGTCGTTCATTTGTGTAGACAATTCAAAGCACAAATAACTCAGTAAATTCAATAAGTTCAACGACATTGTAGAAGATCCAATCATTCTGTAAATTACACGAGGACTGTAAAGTTATAAAAATAAAAAAGAAGAAGTTAGAAGTGTGCAGTAAAGTAAAGCAGGAAAGAAACTTTACTTTTACTGTTTCAGCTTGTTCTTATCAAACTTTTAAACATCATTCTACTTAAAAATGTGATGCATAGAAAGGATATGTGAAATCTAGTTTAAATATCCTTTTTCTTCTTAGTACTGACCTAAAAATTCAGATGTGAATTAGAAATAAAAGAATTTAGACAGGTTGAAGAATTTACTAATCAATTTCAATCCAACGATTGGTCATCTATTTTCGATTACCCTTTGAAAGTAAGTGCCAACATGATACGAGAGTCTAATGATCCTTCAGTTGACATAATTAAAGGATGAAGTATTTGTAAATGCTTGAATGGATAAATATCATCGATACTGGATAGTGACTGAAGGTGAAATAAAAGTTCAGGCTTCTGTAGGATTTAAACCACGGGTTTCCGGATTACCCTCCCAGTACTCTACCAGTTGAGCCTGGAGACCCTAATCTTAATTCTATTCAAACTCGGAGGTCGAATCCTACAGTGGTCTAGATTTTTATTTCACTTTCAATCACTACTCAGTATCAATAATAAGAATTTGAAGAAATATGGCTATTTCAAATAGTCACACTGATAATAAATATCAGTTAATAACTATCTAAACAGCTGTCTCAGTGTATTTTATGTTCCAGTTCTGAATATGAAAATTTAATTACTGAGATATATGTGACAGTGGCCTTAGAATAAGGTAAAGAGAACGTAATTATTCAAAATAATGGTTAGTTTTTCTGTTGGGATTATTACTTTGAGAAACAATATGAACAAAGTAGTGCAGACTCTTACTTAACCATTTATATAACTAGTCGTTGAGCCTATTTCGTGAGCTAACAGAAGCTGGAAATATGGAGCATTGGATTCTGACCCAGTGGCTCAATAATAAAGTGCTGGCCACGCAACCTGAGGGTTGCGCGTTCGGTCGATTGCGGGTTCGTAGGTGCGCACTGATGAGGAGACACATACTAGGAAGAAACAGATTTCCAGTGCTCCCAGATTCCTTTGTTTCTCCAACTAATGTTAGTCCACAATGAATAACAACTTCACATATGTCGAAATCCCAACACTTCCCTCAAAATATAATATAGCCTATTTCCTTATTTAATTTGCATAACAGTAACTTCTTAAACACGCCACTGTAAATCACATTTCCAAAATACCACCACCATGAGAACCTCATACCAATTTATTCTGACATGTAGCCAACGTGAAGGTAAAAACAAAGGATTTACCAAATACAAAATAACGAAACAAATATTAATAAGAAAAACCTCTCTCCATTGGGTGCCTAGCGCAACATACCGCTTCAGTAGCACGTCTCCATTCCACTCTCTTCTCTGAAATCTTTTGAACCTGGTTCCACGACAACCCACAAGCTCTCATTTCTCCCTCACACCATCTCCTCCATGTCACCCTCACCACGTACGCCCAACTCGTCGCTTCCCATTTGGGTTCCACTCAACGGCTTGGCCTGACGCGTGAAGTCCCCAGTCGGTCTTCTCAGTGCATGCCCATTCCATCTCCACTTCCTTCCACTGCATAGTTATTGGGCGATAGCGTCTTGGTCTATTCGTTGCCAGCTAGCCATAGTTCCTTGTTGTTTTTTCTTATTGTTCTGGACATCTGATCTTCAGTATCGAGCCAGTGTAGGCAGTTGTTGATGGATGTCTGCGGTTGTTTGTTGGAAATCTCTTTCGTAACGCGCCAAGACTCTGAACCAGCACATAGAAGCACTGACTTGACGTTGGTGTTGAAAATCCAGATATTGTTCACGCTTTATGCTGAATGTGGTGCAGAAGATCTCCACACTGGTTTCAGGTTAATGAAAGTCTGTCTTGCTTTTCCGATCCTGGCTGGCTTTGACGTCCTCGTCTGTGCCGCCTGTAGTTGAAACAGTGCTGCCTAGATAAGTGAAAGAGGCTGCCTCCTTCAAGTTTCTCCCGTTGATGATGATTGGGGCTTGTTGTTGTTCTTATTGTTGTTGTTGGTGGTGGTGGTGGTGGTTGGGTATGCTTCATCACCTCTGTCTTCTCTATATTCAATTGAAGTCCCGTCTTCGCTGTCGTGTTTCTCCTGTCAACTTGTTGAATTTAGCCTGTAGATCTTCGAGTTTGTGTGACATTAGACATAAATCGTCGGCGAAATCCAAATCTTCTAGGTTCTTTTCATCGGTCCAGCGTATACCCATCTTCTCACAGCTCCTCACTGTTTGTTGCATGACCCAGTCTAGTCGACCACAACACAATCAGGAATATCATGGGTGATAGTAGGTGGCAGCCTTGTTTCACTCCTGTCTTCACTTCAAAAGCATCACTGAGCTTCCCGTTGTGAATTACTTGGCCGGCATGTGGCGTCTTCACATAGTTGTTGAATGAGGTTGATAACGGTTTGTGGCAGTAGAACCGTAGTGTTGGAGCAGTTTCCAAATTACTTGTCGGTCGATGTTGTCAAAGGCGTTTCCAAAGTAGATGAAGTTGAGGTAGAGTTGAGTTGACTGCCATTCTGTACTCTGTTCTATGATGATGCGCAGTGTAGCGTTGCAATTTGGTCCAGACATGATTTGTACTTCCTGAATCCAGCCAGCCAGCCAGCCAGCCAGCCAGCCAGCCAGCCAGCCAGCCAGCCAGCCAGCCAGCCAGCCAGCCAGCCAGCCAGCCAGCCAGCCAGCCAGCCAGCCAGCCAGCCAGCCAGCCAGCCAGCCAGCCAGCCAGCCAGCCAGCCAGCCAGCCAGCCAGCCAGCCAGCCAGCCAGCCAGCCCGTTCGGGTAGTAGTTTTGAATCCAGTGCATCCTTTAGTCTCTCCAAGATGATGCAGCTTAATATTTTGCTTGCTTTCGGTGGACAGGGGCATGATTCCGCGCCAGTTCTTGCAAACACTGAGGTCTCCCTTCTTCGGGAGTTTGACAAGGTAGCCCTTCTTCCAATCAATCTGCAGGTACCTTCCCTTCCTTCCTCCCAAACCTTCTGCAATAGTGGTATGATGTGAGCATGTCCGCTGCTGATGTATCTGCATCTGTGCTCAGTGCTTCTGGTGAGATCCCATCTGGTTCTGCTGCTTTCCCGCATTTCAGTAGCTTTATGGCGTTCAGGACTTCGACTTTTGTTGAAGGATTTGTGTTCACTGGTAGTTCTGTGGCTGGGCTGCAGGTGGTATTTCTGTACGAAGTGCAGATGGTGGTGGTGGTGGTCGATTCAAGAGCTTTTTGAGGTGGTCCGCCCATCGCTTTCTTTGTAGGCAACTAACATGTATAGATCCAAATTTTTTTATAAATGGACATGTTGTAGAAAATTTTACGTTACAATATCATCAGTGAAGATGTAGATTGTAATGGTTCTTGATCGTTTCAACTTCCAAAGGATAAATTTACTGAGCTACACTTCTATCCGGTGACTTTCTTCTACTTGTTAAAGAACAGTCGGTAAAAAAAATAGTTAGAATACTATTATGAAAGATTAGAGGTTTCAAAGAACAAATTTTTTTGCCATGATATCGTCATTTGTAGCAGATAAAGTAATTAAACACAGACTGATGAAGGCTGTCAAGATAACTTTCTGTGCATTCACTTCATAATTCACTAATACTAGTCGCTTAATGTTGGTGTGTGGGATGCACAAGCTGTCACTGTCAACCACTTCAATGTGCATATATCATTTCACTTGAAACTAGGGAGCTGGACATGTCGGACGTAGGAAGAGGCAGATTTTTTATCGTCAACACCGATGTCCTTCTGCGTGACTCAGTAAATGTGAACGCAGATCAATACACAGCTCCTTCATTAACAGTAGATACACAAATCCAGAAAATCCTTTTGCACTAGTCTACATGGTGCGAAAACCTCGCCTGGTTAACTAGTTCACTAGTTACTAGCCGGTCCCAAGCCCGGGTATACAGGGAAGGTTGGGCGTAGAGCTGGCAACCCTATCCCATAGAACCGATACAACTGCTAAAGAAACTTCAAAGCACAAACAAAATATAATAAATAAAACCAATATTGTTCCTCGCTGGAATCGGAGAGGCGAAATAACGCCAGTTGGTGAAAGCCTTCGGGAAGCCGATTCGTCGATGTGTCTTCTCTTCTCTCGAAAGTAAACACTGGGACATGGAATGTCCGCACCATGTTTGAACCTACCAAGGCTGAGCGGATTGCAAAGGAGATGAGAAGGTGTCGCATTTAATTGTAAGGAATTTGCGAAAGCAGATGGAATGGAAGTGAACTCTCTAAACTGTCAACTGGAGAATCAATAATCTACTCCGATATTTTCACCCACACGACAACCACGAGCACACTGAGTCATGGAGTGGCTATCATGATATCCCCCTCCCAAGAGCATCGAAGGCTCTCTCTCTCTCTCTCATGCAGTGGGAACCAATCTCCTCCAGCATCAGGATCATGACAGCAAGGTTCAACTCAAAAAGAAGGAGGGTCACAATCATACAACCAACCCTACGCATTTACAAATAATGCAGATCAAGAGAAAAAGGAGGAGTCCTACAGACAACTGCAATCAACACTGGAAAAGACCTCAGTTGGCGATATTAAAATTCATTCTAATGGGCGACATGAATGCCAAACTGTCGGGAGCTGACAACACAGAAAGAGGAGTAACCATGAGTCGAGAAGCGCTTGGTGAAATGAACGAGAATGGAGAACTGTTTGCAGACTACTGGGCATTCAACGATTTGGTGATTGCAGTAAGGCAGTGTGTTCAAGCACAAGGATATCCAAGAAGCGAGCGACATGGATTTGATTTCACCAGACACCAGGACACACTAAAAATCAGATCGACTTCATCTCAATCTCAAGGAGGTGGAGACGCAGCTTACTTTACCAGGATCAAGGAGGGGAACACATGTAGGTGGTTCACACCACTCACTATCTAGTGCAAGGAACCTGCCTTCAAAATCAAGTTGAAAGCATTCAAGGAAGTTGGTGATAGACCACAGT